ATCCATCAATATTTTTGATTTCTCACAACACTCTAATGAGCCTACATTGATGCGACTTGGAGGGGTGGTCTTGACTCGAGTAGTCAGCCGAAGGCAAAGTTTCTCACGAACCAGCATGTGATCAGAGCCACCTCTGTTGCCCGCTTCGGCACCGCAATACGATCTACAGTCTTCTACTGATGAGATCCAGCGTGATCGTATCAAGATATAGTCAATTTGGTGGGCTGTTATACCGTCATTGGAGTACCAGGTAAAAAGGTTCTTCCTGGGGTGCCGAAAATACGCGTTGATTATAGATAGCCGGTTGAAATCGGAGAAATTAATTAGCCTGTTACCGTTTTCGAAGCGACGGCCTAATCCAAATTTTCCAATTATATATGTAGTTGAAGGTTCTTGTCCACCTGTTCGAGCATTCTAATCTCCCGCCACGCTAAGTAAATCTCTCTTAGGGATGCAGTTTACTACCTCCTGGAAACTGTCGTAGAACTCGTCCTTCGCTACGCTGTCGGATGGTAGAGTGGGGGCGTAGACTGCTACCACGTGGAGGTTGGTAGGATCACCCATGAAGCGTGATACAGCGATCGTTAATGATATTGGTTCCCAAAAGAGTAAGGCAGCGTTGGAGCGCTGGCTCAGTGCTAACGCTGCTTCCTGTCGAACTGAGATTTCTGAGACACTATGGTATAAATAGTGGTGGCTATCAGAACCGGGAACCTTGATGCTACGTGAGCCGGAGCCAGTTAGTCGTACTTCGGATAAGCATGCAACATCTACGCGGTGGTCGTGTGAGGTGCGCATAGTCTCTATCTGAATCCCAATGTCCTAGAGGGTCCTGACGTTCAAGCAGCCCACGTAGAGGTGGTTTCTAAAATGGAGAGGTTGAGGAGGTTCAGTTCGCATTCTTNGCGCGTCGCTTATTGGGGAAGCCGTAGCATGGGTAACTAAGCTTGCAGAAGACATAATCATGACATAATCAAGACGTTGCACTGATGCTGTTGCCTATCCTGGCAACGAAACATCTGTGAACAAGACTTCCAGCTCGGAAAACACATCGACACCAACATATCACATTAGTCGTAAGCTGCACAATGATGATGATGATGCTGATAATGACAAAAAGTGAATTTACTTAGTAAACAATTTGATTGCAAGCGGTTTAAAACAGTGTGATGAACATAGATAATCTGTTCGCTTGTTTCCCGAGATCAGCACAAAAACGTACCGATGAATAATTCCACGCATTTCCAAATAACTCATCCCGTCCGCGATCTGTTCGGCCCAGGATAGCATGGTCAAACTATTTAAATCGGCTTGGTGCTCGTGTACATATTTGTCCAGACTGCCCAGTTCCACAAACATGGACACAAGGCAGTGACGCTCGCGAGACAAACAGACTCCTATCAGAGGTAAACAGTGCCGATGTTCGACGGAGGCCATGACCTAAAAAACAAGATTGAATGGATCAAAAACACACTGTGCGGTAGGTAGGTAGGTAGGACTACAAGCAGAACAAACACGGCAACCTAATTAATAAAAATGGCACACAGTCAAGGTGCATCGATTCACACAAAAATATAACTTCTATTCCAGGTTACCTGTTAAGTGCTGTATAGAAATTGAGAAGTAATTAATATTGAATTTTGAGCTTTACACGTTGATCAATTTGCTGAGATTGAACAATCACAGCCGATATATCGCCCGGGGAACAACAGTGCAACAAAATACTCATCTTGGTAATCGATTCTCGTGGATGACTAACGGTACTCGGGAATACCCTGAAACTGAGTTAGGCTGAAATCTGAAAAGGCTCTATAGCAGCATAACGGAGCATAACAGAGAGCCCTCAGATACAGCACAAATTTCTATAGTTTAATACATACAGTTCAAACCCATTCGGGAATCGGAGAATCGTATAAAGAGTCGGTCCGATTTACGGCCTATATGCTGTTTGTTTCCTGTTCAGGATTTTATGGGACTAGACAACAGATCTGTCGTCGCCTTGCAAGGAAACCAGATGGGCTTGTGATATCTAAACTTTTGCCTGTGGGGTATCAAGTGATGCAATTTAAGCGTGAACAGCCTAAGTTGTCCTCAAATCAATCTGAATTAGATGATTACATGGTTAGAGTAAGGCACGAAATTCATCACAACAGACATACTGAAATTGAAGAAACCACACTCGTAAGCAGATTTCTTTGATCAAAAGGAAGAAAGAAAAGGCCTAGACGGTACTTTTAAAGCCTTTCTATGGTCACGTGGCAATAAACAATGCAGAATAAATGTTTTAAGGCTGCAGTGGTGTTTCCTCATTTGATTAACACATTGAGTGGAGGCTGTAAAATACTTTAAAAGAAAATTTGCATCAATCAGCAATATCTGTTGTTTGCCAGAAAATAGGGTTTTGAAATAATAGTTCAAATTACCATTTAGTGCTCAATTTTCTATCCATACTGCATAATCTTCCCTATCAAATCAAGATTGGATTAAATGTAACTGGTATGTGAAATGATAGGTTGATCTACTTATTAGTTACATAAATTATAAAAGCTGGTTAGTTAATATTTGAGTGTGAAATACAATAATGATGGGGAATTGGAAGCTGGGAGCGAGGAAATGGTATAACGGATGAACAACACTGAATCACGTGAGGCACGGTGTCGGTCAAAGAAGAAGCATATGACTGACGTTGAGACACGTGGTCGTTGAGATATGCGAAATACAACAGCTCTGCAGGTGCACTTTTCTTACAGTGTGATAATACAAGATATCGATGGTAGAACGATGTGTATCTTAAACATCCTACCAATTTTAACCTAAAACTCTGAACAGAATGCTCGCTTATTCTGCCGCGTATATAGCAAATAGACTGCTCAGTATCGTAAGACATTTTCTAAAGTTTTTCTTGTAATAAGAATTGAGATTAGAAGTTTTGGGCATGGGATTGTTCTAGTATTTTTCCAGATAAGGGTTATAAAAGGCAAAGTTTTATCACATTTTAACTCGAACCAAATATAATTGTTCTACTCATCATCGAGCGACTGGGATTTTATATACCGCCAGACAACTGATTGAACTTTGATTTGACCATTCGAGATTTGCGTCATGTTGAGCAGTATCTATTAGAGGTCCGATCCAGAAATCGTTCGATGTGTTGTGCGTAAATGTTCTCAATCTGATTTTGCATATCCACTTGATATAAGAAACAATAGGTTAATAAAGTTCTCCTTAGTTTCGATTATTTTCGAGTTAGAAAAGTCATTTGTGAGGTATCCGTTATTTACTAATATTGGGTATGAAGTTTCGAAAAAAACCACATTAACCCTGGTATTAAGAAAGCTTTAAAATAAAATGTTCATGAAATATCGCTACTTGATTAACCAAATCTATTTGACTTGCTCGTTTCTGTGACAGTGTTGCTTTTCAGCGAAAGTTGGCGGTTAATTTGTTGAAATTAAATGAACCGCAAGTTGTAATGTCACAGTAATGCTCATCATCATCATCATCATCATCATCATCATCATCATCAT